TCTCTTGCTTTTTCTATAATCCAGTGGATGTTGACAATTTGATCTCTGGTTCCTCTGCCTTTCCTAAATCCAGCTTGAATATCTGGAGGTTCTTGGTTCATGGACTGTTGAAGCTTCACGTGGAGAATTTTAAGCATTACTTTACTAGTGTGTGAGATGAGTGCAATTGTGCAGTAGTTTGAACATTCTTTGGCACTGCCTTTCTTTGGGAAGGAAACTGACTTTTCCAGTCCCGTGGCCACTGCTGAGTTTTCCAAATTTGCTGACATATTGAGTGCAGCACTTCAACAGGATCATCTTTTAGGATTCGAAATAGCTCAGCTGGAATTCCATCACCTCCACTAGCTTTGTTCGTAGTGATGCTTCCTAAGGCCCACTTAACTTCACACCCCAGGATGTCTGACTCTAGGTGAGTGAGTGAGCCATCATGGTTATCTGGGTCATCAAGATCTTTTTTGTACAGTTCTTCTGTGTATTCTTGCCACCTTTTCTTAATATCTTTTACTTCTGTTAAGTCCATACCATTTCTGTCCTTTGTTGAGCCCATCTTTGCATGAAGTGTTCCCTTGGTATCTCTAATTTTCTTGAAGAGATCTCTAGTCTTTCCCATTCTATTGTTTTCCTCTATTTCTTGGTACTGATCACTGAGGAAGGCTTTCTTATCTCTCCTTGCTATTCTTTGGAACACTGCATTCATATGAGTGTATCCTTCCTTTTCTTCTTTGCCTTTCATTTCTCATCTTTTCTCAGCTATTTGTAAGGCCTCCTCAGACAACCACTTTGGCTTCTTATGTTTCTTTTTCCTGAGAATGGTTTTGGACACCACCTCCTGTATAATGTTGGGTACCTCTGTCCATAGTTCATCAGGCACTCTGTCAGATCTAATCCCTTGAATCTATTTCTCACTTCCACTGTATGGTCCTGAGGGATTTGATTTAGGTCATACTTGAATGGCCTAGTGTTTTTCCCCACTTTCTTCAATTTGAGCCTGACTTTTGCAATAATGAGCTGATGGTGGGAGCCGCAGTCAGTTCTCGGTCTTGTTTTTGCTGACTCTGTAGAGCTTCTCGGTCTTTGGCTGCAAAGAATATAATCAGTTTGATTTCGGTGTTGACCATCTGGTGACGTCCATGTGTAGGCTTGTGCCCTGTGCTCATTCTCATTGTTACATAACATTTCACCATAGGAATATACCAGGTTATTTGTTCTGCTGTTGGTAGACATTGGATTGTTTCTAGTTTGGATTATGTCAAATACAATGCTTCTTGCTTTAAACATCCTTTTTTGGTGGGGGGAAGACACACACACCTTTCTCTGTTAGGTTGCTAAGCCTAAAAGTGACATTTCTGGATTGTAAAGTGTGTGTGTGCTTTGCCACTCGGTCGTGTCTCTGCAACTCAATAAACTGTAACCCGTCAGGCTCTGTTCATGGAATTTTCCAGGCAAGAATACCGGAGCTGGAGCGGGTTGCCATGCCCTCCTCCAGGCTATCTTCCTGACTCAGGGATCAAACCTGCATCTCTTGTGTCTCTTGCATCATCAGGCAGATTCTTTACCACTGAGCCACCTGGGAAGCCCATGAAGTATATGTGCATTCAAATTTAGTAGATACTGTCAAATGGCTTTTCAAGGTCTTCACAACTTAACTTCCTACCAAGCAGTGTGTAAACACATTCACTGTGCCACAACCTCACCAATACTTGGCATTCAAAAATCTCTTTAACTTTAGCCTCTCTGGTGAGTGCATGGTAGTATTCCACTTATTTTGATTTCTCCTGACTACTAATAAAGCTGATTATTTTATTTTTATTTTGGATAGTTAGATATCCTTTTATTTGTGAAATGCCTGTTCAGCTTTCTTACACATTTTTATGTTGTGTTAAATATAAACATTATTTTTTGAAAACAATATTTATATATCTGTATCTTTGTCAGTGTTACAAATCATTGAAGGAAGTCATCAAGTGGACTTGACTGCAGGTTGACCCAAGAGCTGAGTCCAGGCTCCTCACTCCCTCTTTTCTGGAATGTCCATTTGACATTCCTACATCAGAGCTATTTCGGCCACGACTAAGTGAGATACTGTGAGACCACCTGGCTTGAATGCATGACCGAACCCAGGGTCAAGGCTCTATGGAAACTCTCAGATTCGGGTGGGTGAGTGTGGAGGTCTACTCACTTAATATCCCAGCCGAGCCTTGTATGTCAGTTTCCTTCCTTACTAAAACTGCCACCTACCAGCCTGGAGTGGTCTGTCTCTTTCTTAGGTCCCTTCATGCCCTCTGTGTACTGGAGCCAGTTTTGGGTCTCACCTGGGAAACTCTCAAGACTGTGAGCCAACATGAATACCTTTTCACACGCTGGTGTTTGGTTTTTCAAGCTACAAACAACTTTGCTCTCTTAATAGTATATTTTGGGGAACAGAGTTCTTAATTTTAATAGAGTTCAATTCTTCAGTCTGCTTTTTCATAATTGGTTAAGGAATTTTTCCATGCTAAAAGTATTAGAGATATTCTCTTGCTGTCTGCATATACTTCCCATTTAGACTGGTAACGTACTTGGAATGGATTTTGTGATACGAGGTAGGTGTTATACAAGCTATCTTACATGTGTTCTTTCAGATTCATTTTCCATTCTTCGTTCTGTTCTCTGATCCAGGAGGCTGGCCTGTCACCTATATGTAATTGTGACTAATTTAGCTGAGTTGTAAGAATTTTCCCTGGGAGTGCTTAGGAGTTAAAGTCCACCCTGATGGGCCTGGTGCTCAATTTGTGGCCCTTATTACTGTCGGCACTCTTAAGACATTCCCTCAGACATACTCCTATCAGAATTTTTGTTGTTGCTTTTCTTTCTTTTTCCTCGCTATTATTGTAAGAGTACCAAACTTGGTCTAGTTATGGTGTATACTTTGCAATGAACAGCTGTTCACCCACAGATGAAATGTAGGGAAACTGCATACTCTTCCTACTTCTCTAGAGAACATCTTTCATGAAGAAATATTTGGTTATGTTTATTGAGATTCCTTTTAAATCTTAATGTCAGAGACACCTATTAATTCAATGAGGCATCCCATAATTCAATAATAATGAGTCAGGCAGTTGTACATTTATCTAAATGTCTTGTGCTGTATTTAGTCGCTCAGTCATGTCCGACTCTTTGCGCCCCCATGGACTGTATCCCACCAGGCTCTTCTGTTCGTGGGGATTCTCCAGGTAAGAATATTAGAGTGGGGTGCCATTCTTCTCCAAGGGATCTTCCTGACCCAGGGATCAAACCCAGGTCTCCCGCATTGCAGGCAGATTTTTTTACCATCTGAGCCAGCAGGGAAGCCCATTAGATGTTGTAGGGTGTAATAATTTTGGTAACCTACATTTCCCATGGATTGATCATGGGTTACATGTTCACTGACTTTTTTGAGGAAGAAAACAGAAATACAAGAAATTATTAAAGTTATTTTCATTTTTATTTATTCTTAGTAGTTAAATTCAGCCTAAGTCCAGTGCTTCCATTTACACACTAAAAGCAAAGCCAGTCTACCACTGAAATCATATGATAAATTTTATTTTTTGGCAATCTCTTTTCTCTTCATTCTTGGGGGAAATACATACCTCACTTTTTGTTATTTATATGAATTGAGAAAATCAGTGCTGAATTTATAAAATGGCAACATTCAAAGTGATCCAGAACCATTGACTCTTTGGTAGTAACTATAAATTTCAGAGACACATCTCTCATAGTTCCCTGCTTCACAATCAAAAAATGAGAAATCACCAAGCATGACATGTCAACTATAGCCAGTATAGTATGTTCTAGCTACAAATATATGAAACTGTGGCTTGAATGTGTGTCAAGAGAATGTTTTAGAATTACGCTTGCTAAATAAGATAAATGATTGCATTAGCATTTCTTTCCAGATGTTCTTTTTAACTCATTTGAAACTATCTGCAGATAGAAATAGAACTAGCTTGAATGCTGATCAGTATGAAATATAGAATTCACAGAATAGACAAAATTGTTGATGTAACATTCAATAATCAGGGTGCCGTGAATTTTACCTTAAAATTCACTTATGTAGTAAAAATAGGGCTGTCGTATCCAGAAAAAAAATATTTTCAGAGGCAGCAGTTACCCTTGGTGGAGAAGAACAGTTCTACACAGAAAGAAAATCCAAGAAGTATGCAAAGTAAACACCAGGATACTTGATATATAATTTAATCTGATAGTACATAGACTATGACATAAAACAGCAGTTTCCTAGAATAATTATAGGCTGCAAGACATGAAACCAGTTAGAAAATGGGTTGAGGCCATACTCTTTGACAGTAGACTTATAAATACAAATACAAATGTAGAATTGGGTAGATCTATGCATTGTCTGCCTTTCCTTGTCATCAAATCAACTTGAACCAGTAGACTGACAAGAATTCAAGCAGTAGAAGTATTGCTGATTCACTAAATTCTTGCCCAGTGAAGTGAGACTATTAACCTCATAGAGCCGTGATTAACTATTGATTGGTAGTTTGGCATTTTAGATGCAAAAGCACATTTCTTCCAATTGGAAATGCAGCTTAGAACTATTTTGTTGGGCAGACTTCAGATTGTCTGAAATAAGAATGCTTAGCTTGTTATGCATAATCCTTCTATTCAATAGTGACAAATATCACAGACTAGGATTTTAGAGACTAATCCTGGTGGATTTCTGAGGGAAGTCTTGTCCAACGACATGTATGGAAGGAAGAATGTGTTAGGTTATTTCTTTTTCATTGGGCGTATTGACTGGCCTAAGCATAGACATCCTCCTTTTCAGTCATATGGTTACAAAAACTGTACATTACAAAGAGTATAGAAACAATCTGAAAAGAGTGTGCCACAGATCTTGGATAATTATCTATATGCAGTTAAATTTACAGATACAAAAGAAAAGACAGCCTACATCCTTATGGTGCACAATTATTTTTTAGAGACAATGTATCACTAATGAGTGGTCATGGTCTTCAACCCTAGTTGTCACCAGCAGAGAGAATGAGAGCCAGATCCGTTCGGTATAGCTTCCCTCCATCCGATAAAGCCATTATACTTTTCTTGTATGTTGGAATATTATTAATATCCAGATCCTAAATGGGACATAGACAGTATTATAATCCAGTTAAACGTGGAAGTGAATTAACCACTGTCAAGTAATAAAATATGAGACAGAACTGCTTGTTTTACCAATCCATTAAGAAGAGCTGGATTAAACTCCTATACAAATGTAAATAAATCACAAGGTAGCTTTTCAAATCTATTTATCACAGTTAAACACTGATTCAGACCAGTATGAAATCAAGTTCAGAACTGAAACCTACTTCTTCTCCTCTATAAAGTTTTAAAGTAGATTCTCCAAAGTAGATGTGTGGTTGCATCTGGATGGATCCATCAAGTTTGCTTAAGAAGGAAATGGCAAGGTAACTAGATTACCTGTTTATTTTTCTCACACAGATCCTTCAGTAAAGCATCCAGTTCATTTTCATCTATGTATCCATTGCCATCCTATGGGAGGGGTAATAAAATAATATGTAAGCAACCTCATCCATAAAAAAGGCAAAGATAGTAAAATGGAAATAATTGAAATCCTCAGAAAACCTGCCTACTGCAAATTTGGCAGATATACTAACCTCGTAGGTCAGACCCTCAAATTTTTAACTGCTCCAAAGTTCCAAAACAGATACGAATTTCCTCTCATTCAGCACCTTACATTTGTAAAATGCTTTGAAATTTTCAAAGCGATTTTGCATTTACTATTTCCCTGTATGTTAACAATATCACTACCTCTCGTTGAAGTAAGAAATTAATCACAAGTGTTTTGCTAGAGGGAGGACATAGGCGTGGGGAAAGTATATTCCCGGCCGGTAATAGAGGCGGGCCATTATCACTTTATGCAGTGGGAGAGCTGTACTAGGGCCTCCAGAGGACTGGCCTGGTCCAGGAGGAGAGAAATTAGAAGGAACAAGCGTGTTAACTGCTGACGTCATGCACAACCTTTCCTCACACACGTGATCTGACTATACCCTACGAGGGAGAATCCCTGCAGGATATTTTCATCTAGCTCAACCCTCATTCTACCCTGCAAACTGAGTATTATTATCTCTTGGTTACCAATGAGGAAATTAAGGATCAGAGGAGTTTGGTATCTTCTTCACAGTTCACAGGAGATAAATTGTAGCATGGGATTTGAATCAAATTCGTCTAATTTGGGATATAACGTAATTCATTTCCTATGACAAGAATAAATTGGCTGAGTAATTTTAATAGCTCATGTTTCTTTAAATATAACCTTGAGTTTGAGGCTTTTTCCCTTTTTGAGCATGTTCCAAATTTTTCTAAAAACTCAAATTATAGATAAGAAACAATTTTTTTTTTACCTGATCGTATAACTCAAAAGCTTTATTGAACTCTTTCCCACACATTTTGACTCCCTAGATGATAGAGAAGAGGGCAAAGATTAAAATGCTACAATTATATTTCATTGTGCTTCCCTTGGCAGATATCCCACATTTTAACCTTTTGAGAAATGTTATGTATGGTAGAGAAAAAGAGAAATACCTGAAATTTAAGAAGAAAATTCTCCTGCACTGGTAGTAATCTTTTAAGAGAAAAACATTATATAACTGCATTAGATTTTTGACAAAGGTCAGCTTATAATGATAATATTTGCATAGTTCCTAAACTCACCTGGCCATCTCAGTTAATTCCAGCTTCCCATCATTATTTGAATCAAACAATTTCAGCTGAAAGACAGAAGGCATTATTTTGTATTAAAAAAAATATTTGTTGCATAGAGAAAGAAATTCAAAATAAAGAAGTTTGAGTAATCAATTACCTACATAGGCGGCAAAATTCTAGACACTAGCATTTATTAAATTTTCAGTGCAAAATTTCATTTCTATGACTTGTCAGTTACCAAAGTTTATCACAGCAATATAAAATAGAGTAAAAGTGATCTTACACTAGACTTCTGGAACATCATTGTTTATTTTTCTTGCAAATATGTGTTTGTATGTATCAAGATGTGGGAGATATGGTGTCTGGCACTACATAGCACATTCTGAAACTTTCTAAATAATAATAGGAAAATAAATATTTACTTTGTTTTTCTCTTTTACAGCATCAAAGAGTATAAGCAGAAATTATGAATCAATCCTTACAGAATAAATTTCTAAGTAAGTGATCTTTTGATAAATGAAAATTACTTAACTCCACAAGAAGGGAAACGCTCATACAGGAAGCCTTGAAGCTAGCCTTACAAGGTAGAAGCTTCATAGGTAATTCACTTTTCAAGTGAAATGATATATGTATGCATATAATGCCCACACCATGGTTTATTTATTTCATCCTGTGTAGTCTTGGGAATTAGCCAGAACACCGTAATATTTCATAGGCTCTTGGCTATAATCTTTTCAAGATCAGTCTTACCATTAGGTCTGTATACTCAGCTAGTTTTGTATCATCAACAGTCTTGTTTGCTTTTTCCAGCAAGTCCTTTAGAAAGTTCTGTTAAGACAAAAAACAGATAAAGTTCATCAATAACAATCTGCTTTCTTTACAGCCTGCCTTGGAATGGAACACCCCAAGAATACAAAGAAAGCCTCTTTTTGAGAATAGGACTGGATGAAAGGAGACATTAGAAGAGAGGTCCTCTTGGCATCCAGCAGTGATGCTGCCTTTGAGAGGCATGACATCTGCCTTTTATTGAGAACTGATGGGTCAGACCATGCTATGGTATGCTATGCATTTATGATTTCAATTTAAAGAGAAGTTAGATTACGCATGTAGGACTCAGAGTAAAAACTTATAAAGCCAGTTAGCCCAATGGATGCATTTCTTCCTAATGGTACCTTCACAGTTACTCATGTGATTCTTCTCCAAGAAATAAGAAACACTATGCCTGGGTGCATGCCAAGTCATTTCAGTCATGTCCAACTCTTTGTGACCCTATGGACTGTAACTTGCCAGGCCCCTCTGTCCACGGGATTGATTCTCCAGGCAAGAATACTGGAGTGGGTTGCCATGGCCTCCTCCAGGGATTGATCCTGCATCTCTTATGTCTCCTGCATTGGCAAGCAGGTTCTTTGCTTATGAGCTACTTGGGAAGCCCAAGAAACAGAATGGATTCCCTATACCTTTCTGAGGTATGTGATCGATTATTAGTATACAAGGTGGAGATCTACCCTTAATTTCAAGTGCATTTTCTGCCCTTATAATCTGTATTTCTGTATCAGTGTATAGCCAGTATGAAGCACACTTCACTAGAGGCTGGATTAGCTTTTAGGTTTGATGCAGTCCAAAGCACCTTGGTTAGAATGTTTCACCTGACTGTTCAAACTAAAATAGTTAGCTGCAGGCGTTACCTAATTCTTGAAGGATATGAATCACATCAAAGTAGAAATTAATATGGGAAGGATGAAAAAAAAGATGATTATTAATTTGACAGTTGGAGTTTAGGAGTGATTTTAATTTTTTTACCAGAGAAATAAATCAAATAAAAGCTTTCAAAAGCTTGCCACATAAATGACAATGTAAGTACTTAAGAATATAATAGTTTTTCACTTTGTCTAGTGCTGTTCATTTGCAATTTCTTTATTTGTTCAGAAAATGAATTACTGCAATTATGGAAAACTGAGCTGATATGTTAAGACATTACCGAAGGATTGGGTTTCTTCAGCTTTGATGTCTTTTATCTCCCTCCCAAATTTTCTAGTTCTGCTGGGATGATCTAACTTCATTATTTTCAAGGAAGGAGACTTTTTTCTTGGTTTCATAAATTTATTTTCACTTCAAACATTCCACTTAAAATTCAAAGTGAAGCATGGAAAATTCAAAGTTATCTGTTGGGGATGAATTTTATTTTTGAACCATATGAGGCTTTTGTCAGAGACTAATTGGGTTAAAAATCCTCATCAGAGACTAAAATGGTGGTCACAAAAATAGCCTGGGAGAAACTTCAAGACGCTGAGATTCAAAGTCATGTCTGAGAGCAAGCAATGTTTTACTCCATTATGGAATCTTAAAATTAGCTTTCTTGAAAGATCCATTAAAAAAGAATGCCAACTTATCTTCAAAATTCCCCAGAGAGAAGTACTTCTATTTAGAATCTCTTCTGAGAATAAAATTTAGAACAAAGAAGGTCAGTATTGGAAATGAGCTAAAGTTTCATTATAAACTTGAAATGATTTTTAAAAGAATTTTTTTGGTCCAGTAGAATAAAAACACAGTAATTTAACTGTCACCTTGTGGGTTGCTGAACTACAAATTTGTGAAAAATATAGTTTTTGGTGATTTCACATGAAAAATGTTTGCATTTTTAAGTGTTGTTAGTTCCATATGCTTTAGCAATTTTGTGATTATATATATGTGCTAAGTTGTTTCAGTCTGTGTGACCCCATGGACTGTAGCCCGCCAGGCTTCTCCGTCCATGGGATTCTCCAGGCAAGAATACTGGAGTAGGTTGCTGTGGCCTCCTCCAGGGGATCTTCCCGATCCAAGTATTGAACCCACGTCTCTTGAGTCTCCTGCGTTGGCAGGCAGATTCCTTACCACTAGTGCCACCTGGGAAGCCCTCAATTATACAAATGCGTGTAACTCAAACAATGTTAAACTATGACCAGGAAACCATGTTTGATATTCATGTTTCCCTACATACATAAGAGGTAACTCTTGGTGACTAAAGCTGAAAACTTTTGATGTTGTGGGGAAAAAAATTATTACTGTTATCAGATATTCTATGTCCAAAGTCAGGTTCTTTTCCCAAGCAGCTGAGTACTCTTGAAAAATTATCTAATTTCTCTGAATTACAGTTTGTTTGTTTGTATAATGGGAATTATAATACCTCCCCTGCAAATTTTCTTTGAGGATTAAATGTCAAAATACATTTTAAGCATCTAGTATTATGCCTGCCACATAGCAGGTGCTCAATATTTGTTTTTCTTTTAGTTATTCTATATCCTAAAGATAGAGAAAATAGAGTCTTTCAGACTGAGAAGTATTGAGGTCAATTTAGAGAAATGAGAGAAAGACGGTTTTGTATTTCTGAAAGTCTAGTAAATTATTGAGTTCGTGAATAATACAATTTATATTACCTGTATTTCACAAAATCTTTCAGATGTAACATCTTACTTGAGCCTCACAATAAATTGAGAAGTAGGTGTTATTACCCTCAAATAAAGGATGAAAAAATGAGGCAGAATGATAAAGAGATTTGTCCAGAGACAAGACTTGATTTCAGATCTCTTTGCCTTTTCCTTCCTATCTCCCTCCTCTCCTACCAGCTCCTAAGTACACTCCTGAGATACGAACTGCTAAATTCAGTTTCAAAGTTACAGTTTTTCAGAAGTTTGATTATATGAAGACTTTGTTTTTCCTGTTGTTACTGAGATCCAGTGAGCCAGGGGCCTTGGGAGCAAACTAGTTCACAGATCACAGCTGTATGTCCTGTTCCGTGTAGCCTTCAGTTCATCACTTAACTTCTCTTCCCTTTTTTCCTTACTGAGGTACCATTAATCCCGCAGAACTCACATGAAGATTAAATAAGATATGTATAAAGTGCCTGGCACACAATTGGTGTCCAAGAGTTGTTTCTTTATCTTTAAAGAGACATCTCTATAGTTGTTTAATTCATGAAATAAAATGTCAAATTTTAATGAAAATAATCTGACTTATGCTCCCCTGGTGGCTCAGAGGTTAAAGCGTCTGCCTCCAATGCAGGAGACCCGGGTTCGATCCCTGGGTCGGGAAGATCCCCTGGAGAAGGAAATGGCAACCCACTCCAGTATTCTTGCCTGGAGAATCCCATGAACAGATAAGCCTGGCGGGCTACAGTCCATGGGATCGTAAAGAGTCAGACACGACTGAGCAACTTCACTTCACTTCACTTCACCATCATATATCTATCTCTCTATCATCTATCTTTCTCTTATTAAAAATTTGTACACTCCACAGAAAATGTCAGTTGCTGAACAGAATTTCAAGAAGTATGTGCAGTCTCTTTTTGACATGGTACTTTATTAACCATGTGGAAGCGTGGATGAAAATGTGCCATTGCTTAACGTTAGTTTCTTTTGTGGGAAGTTTAAAAAAAAAAAAAACTACAAAACTCATAGTTGTATTTGAAAGAGAAAAATGTACACATTTTTCTTTGCTTACCTTCAGCTCCTCCGTTTCTATGAAGCCGCTGTGATCAGTATCATATTTCCTCCATGTCTGTAAATAATTTTGGATAAGGAAGACCAAACACGTTAGAAAAGGTCACAGTGTCCCTGCTTTCAGGTATCTGAAGATGCCACTCGGGGCAGAGGTTTCCCATACCTTCATGAACTCCTCGCAAGACTTCAGCTGCTGGCACCGGAAAAGCAGCAGGAAGTTTTCTTCTGTGGGTAACACGTGGGCCAGCTGGAAAAGATGGACGAAGCTGGTCAAAGGCGCTTGAACGCAAGTCTCCCTCATTTCCTGCTCTTAGTTTTCCTTGACCATAATTTTATTACCCGGAAAACTAGGCGAGGAGCAACATGGCCATCGATTTTCCCTTTCGGATACTTTGTCCCTATAAAGCGCCATCGTGTTTTGCAGCGCTTGCTGCCCTCGAGGGACCGGTTCTCGGGTCAGCGAGGAGGCTGCAGCAGGCATGCCTAGGGAGCTCAAGGAAGGGCGGCTGACACTTCTCATCGCTAGACACACGAGCAGGCTCATCCCGGCGGCTCGAGCCCTGCACCTTTCCTCTGCCACAGATCAGGCCTTTTCCTGAGAGGGCCCGGAGGATGGCACACGTGGGACCAGACATTTCATAAAAGAAGAAGCTGAGAGATATGAATGTAGCAGAGAGGACACAAGGCCGAAAATGAATCCTGAAGTCGGAGGAGAAAGCTTGTTAAGAGATGCAATGCAATATAAACTCAGGACAATTGTAAAACAATAGAGAGAGAGATGGGAATAGACACTTAACAGCGAGCAGTGGGATCTGAATGGTAATAGGGAATATCAGTTCTCAAATGTTTGGCGTCTGCTAAAAGGACATCTGTTGCTTGAGTCCAGGGCTTAAATTTTATTTGATGATCTCCCTTGAGTGACCCGAAGACATTTCTCCTAAGATCTCATTTTGTAACTTCAGTGCTCCTTTTTTTTTTTTTTAAGGAGAAGGGAAGGGCTCCAGATCCCATTTTAAGATGAGTACAATCTATCTGTTGTGCGCAGGGGGGGCGGGAGCTGGACTGACGGCCTAATGAAGGTGTGTGCTCTATTCCTGGGCAGCTGCTAATTAGCTGTGGTCCCCAGCAAATCCCTCAGCCCTTTCTGGAACTTAGCATGCTCCTCACTTAAAATGAGGAGTTGAAATAGAAACCAGTGTCTCTTAAATGTACTGGGTTCAAAATGACTTTGAGAATCTGTTAGAATCACTGCATCTTCACCATTAAAGAATGAACCTACAACACTATATTTCATCTAATTTCCAGAAGTTGGTGAATCCCCTGAAGTACAGGCATGGACCCTCATCTGTGAATTTTAGACTAAAAAACCTGTGGACTAGATTAACCTTTAGGTAAGCATACATGTCAAAATCTACCAAGTTATATAAGACTCTCACACTTTAAAAAAAATTGTCCTTTTAGGTCCATTAAAAAATTTAAAATATAAAATGCATCATTCTATCTTATATGCAAGTAACCTCAGCTTCTTTATGCTGTGTATGTCCTTTAACTTATCTTGTTTTTAGACCTTTGAAATAATATCTCAAATTAGAATCATTCAGGCACTAATAATGGGATGAAAGTAAGGGGTAGAGCCAGATATCCTGTTAGGATGTTTGGTATGACTGTCAGAAAACATTTTCTTATTTCCAAACAAAGGTCACTAGTATGGTTATGCATTAATGCAAGCATTAATTTAGGAAACAGGAAATAGCCAGTGCCAACTCTTTCCTTATTGGTATGTAAATTGTCAGATACTACTTTATAAGCTTTTGGTAGACCTACCCATAGACCACCCATTTCAGGAGGGCAAAGACTATTCTTTGTCTGCATCCCCTGAATACTTGGTGTGGTGCTCAGCATGTTAGGTACTTGACATAAATGTTTGGAATTGGTTAATAATTTTACTTCATTAAAAATACCTACTTAACATGATTTGTAGTGAGCATATTTTTTATCTTCATTGTGATTTTCTATATTGCTTGGATTTTCAAAATTACTGTACATTGTTTTGAACAAAATCATAATTTTTCTTAAAAATCTACTTATCAAAACGCATCAAATAGATAAAAACAGAAAAACTAAAAGATGGAACTAGCAAACAAGGACCACATGTAAAATTAGGGAAATTTTAACCTCTTTTGTTTCAAAAGTTAAACTTCACATAACTTGCATAAAGTCCAGAGGTCTCTAAGAATGTCAAATATAGAGACGGTAAAATTGCTCTTCATGTTTACTATAAATGTAAATTTCTTCACCCCTGCTATTTTGGTCCTAGTTGGTTTAATTATAATAAAATAAATATTATATCTACATGCAACATAGTCAATCTTTTAATTTAATTGAACTGTTAATGTTAAACTCAATACAGTGCCATCATATTTTTTTCCTTTATTTTTTATCAGTGCCATCATATTTTATAGACGTTAGCAGTGAGTCTTAAACACATAAAACACTGTCATAAGACAAACCAGCCACTAAGAAAGAAGCAATAAGTATGTGTGGATAAGATGTGGCTGTGTGCTCAGTATCTAAGCCATGTCTGACTCTCTGCATCTACATGGACTGTAGCCCACCAGGCTCCTCTGTCCATGGAATTCTCCAGGCAAGAATACTGGAGTGGGTTGCCATTTCCTTCTCCAGGGGATCTTCCCAACCCAGGGATCAAACCCCAGTCTCCCACATTGCAGGCAGACTTTTTACCGACTGAGCTATGAGGGAAGCCCCTTCACAACAAACAAATAACATAACAAATCATCTTTTTGTGTGTGTATTTTTTTTTTGCCACATCATGTGGTTTGTGGGATCTTAGTTCCTGGACCAGGGATTGAACCCAGACCCTTGGCAGTGAAAGCACCTAGTCCTAATCACTGGGCCACTAGGGAAAGCATACGAATCAATATTCAAATTTCAGAGCTGGGTGCAGTAACTCTCCAGCTGTTGACTCTACGACCATGTCTACAAGGTGACTGAGGTCTTTTATAGAAGCTGTTAAGTAGGGCTGTTGTTTCCTCTATTTTGTCAACAGTAGTATCCTGTATTACTTGTTCCGAGATCATTGGTGATTTCTTAATTTTCAGTCTGCCTGCCTGCTTTTTTATAAACTCTCAAAACTTTATTATGGGTTGGAGAAGAGAGTTAAGAGAAGCAAGGAAATGAATGGAAGGCAGATAACTGTGGCTACTAGGAGAATCTTTCAAAGCTTCATTTACAAAAATTGATTGCTTGTCACTGAGAGTGGGAGGCAAAAATTCCTCTCTACTTGCCTGTCTTCTCTTTCAGTCTATGTACATCTTGAGGAAAGGGTCTGTGACTTAATTAATGTTTCTTTGCCTGGCACCTGCAAGAATTTCCATAGATATTTTACTCAACCAACACATGAAGGCAGTTGACCATCCAGGGTCAGCATAGGCTGCGAGAATTCAAACAGCTTGCTACTAAGCTGTGGATAGGGGTTGGGGTGGCCACTGTGACTGTCATCCAGAGTTCTCTTTAGGTGCTAGGAGTGTTGTGGTCTCAGCTGGCAGGTCTCTTGGGGAGATTACCTGGGCTGACGAGAGCTGTGATCCCAAGATGCACATGGGGATATAAAACCTAGCTCTCTCACTCCAAACTTGGGACATCTCTGAAGGGCTGTCCCAGTTCAGAGCTCACTGTAAGGTCAGCCAAAGTTGAGACTGCATCACAGCCCAGCGTCTCGCTCTGCCCAGCTTTGTTCTTTTATTTCCCTTGGACAGGCACTGATTCCAAGAGCACTTCCTAATAAACTTCCTCATTGCTTCTCTTCAACTCAGATACGGTCCCCAAAGGAACCAACCTGTCCCAGAACAGGGATCTTCACCACCTCTCTTCTATTACTAGCCATGATATGGAGCTCTTGACTGTGTTTTGGATTAGGTTGAAATCCCTTGCTGTGGCTCACGTGGCCATGATTCAGAACCTGCAAGGCACTAGACCGCATGCTGGGGAGCCATAGTCACTGGCAATAATTTTACAGGGAGGCAGATAATGAAAAATCTTGTTTCAGACAATTTCAAAGCAAGAGATAACTACAGTGGTAAAGATACATGCTAGGTGCTGGGAGAGGACATGTGAAGAACAACTTTACAAGAAATATAAATGCCTGAGGTATATCTTTTAAAGTGCACACAAGGCATAATTTCTGAAGACAATCTTGGGGCATGTTAGATTCTTTCAACACATATTAGTAAAACATTCACTTTCTTGGTTTGGAAGCCAAAGAAATATTTTTCTAGCCAATGAGAAGTGAGTCCAGGAAATTGGAAAATTTAAAAGGCAAATAATCTTTTCACACAAATTAAAGGCTAGTTGAATTTAATAATTTTAATTTGACAAGTTATAAGAGTAGGGAAAAGATTGACATTAAAAAAAATGGCATAAATTTTCTAATGAAATATTTTTATTTTTAATAATAATAGCAAGTACATTTGTTGAGTTTTTCTAGTGTACCAGGGCTTATCTATTTTTGACAGGTGTTATCTGATGTTGATATTCATATGTCATCCATGTTCACAGCCAAGGAAACAGGCTCAGAGAAGGTAAATGACCCGCTATCACATAGCTTGTAGTTGGAGCCAGATTTGAAATCAGTCTGACTTTTTGATTTTGAGACTCTTGTACTTTAACAATCACCCTCCATTAAAATCTTCAGTCTTGATAAACTATTTTTAAAAATCTATCAAGAATGAAGTTCTAAATCAGATTCTATTGTCAGTCATTTCCCCGAACTCCGAGGTAGAAAACTGTGTATGCTTAGTCACTAACGCGTGTCCAATTCTTCACAACCCCATGGACTGTGGCCCGCCAGGCTCCTCTGTCCTTGGAATTTTCCAGGCAAGAATCCTGGAGTGGGTTGCCATTTCCTCCTCCAGGGTATACTCCTGACCCAGGGATTGAACCCTCACCTCCTGCAAGCCTCCTGCATTGCAGGTGAATTTTTTACTGCTGAATCACCAGGGAAGCCTGAGGTAGAAAACTAGCTTACTATTTAAAAAATTACATTTATTATGGTTAAACTTACATGCTTAAATCCCACTATCAAGAAAAGAAGGAAAGTCTAGAAAAATGCCTGCTTCCCTGGGAGGGTTATTACAATTTTACAACTGAAATAGCTTTCAGATCTATTTTTCCGGTGGATGCACTGACCTGAACAAATAGACACAGTAAAACTCGAGAGGATGCTATTTTCTCATACCGTGCCCAAGCGATCAGGTGAAAAGTTTGCAGATTTGACATCCAGCTAAGGGAAACATCTATACTTAATGTGAGCACCAGAGAAGGAATTTCTATTATCTGCTAAATCATTCAGTCTCCCTCTTTGACTATTTTAATCAATCTTCTCTGCAATAGAGCTATTAGTCTGAATAAATTTAGAACATTTTGACTGTCATGGTATTTGTTAAATTATCTCAGAATTTCAGAGTTCCTGTTTTGAGTTTGTATCAACAATCTCTTTATTATCAAGCTGTATTTGTGTGAATTTGAAAATCTATTTAAAAGACATGAAACTTAAAAGTTCACAAGAAAGCATATTCGTATATTACCCTTCTTTTTACATGTTTTTACATGTCTAGGTAGTAAGAGCATGTTGTTGGAAAGTGTCAGTCAACTTCTTTAAAACAAAAGTTTGAAAGTTAACCACTGTATTTTCTGATCTTTTGAACAACACATTTCAATTAAAGCCAAGTCAATTTGACCTGGAAAGCAGACTACCACATAAATACCATTTGGTTTACTTTGATTCGATTTTGATGAGCCCCTGAATACACCTACTAAGTGGGCAATACATAAGCAAATCTAATCTCTTTTCCCTTTGAACGTGAAAGTTCATGTACTTGATGTGAGCTGATGGGAATCTGTAAACTATTATAAATTTTGGAAAACCTTTTTTTTTTTTATTCCTTCAAAGCTGGCTGAAATTCATGTATTTATGTTCCATGTTATATATAGGATTTCTTAGCAAGTGAAATGTGTCAGATTGGAAAACAGAAAGGATGAACTTGACTTAACACAACTTACTGCTGACACCAGAGGGCACATTATAAATTCAGGCATTCCCCATTCTCCGTTTCTCCATTTTGTACAAGTAATCTGTAGCTTTCAATTCCTTTCTTCCAATGATTTTTCGTAATCTCTCCTTTTTTCTCATCCCTCTTCCTTAACCAGGTTAAGTACGATCAACCTGCCTGTGAACTACAGCAGCAATCTCTTCCCTGTTCCCCCATTCTCTCCTTCTCATTTCTCCAAGTACTGACCCTCCTCACTTCCTTCTGTGTCTTGGCTGATAACTCTGATTAATAAAAAGAATTCTGGAATCAGAGTCAGATCTAGGCCTGTATAAATATTCTGTCACTCCTTGCCGGTGGGATCTTAGACACATCATTCAACCTTTCTGAGCTTCGATTTCTTTACCCTTAAAGTGAGAAATCTTGGTTAACTTTTCCTCTGGGTCCCATGCAACAGTAAGTTCCATGTCCTGGAATAAGTAAACTTTCTAATTAAGTCTTATGTGGGTTCCCTTCTCTTCCTTTAAACTCTTTCTGCTTTCACTGATTGACAGTTCTTCCCAAATCATGTTTCAAGTGTTTGGGTCAAATAACTGCTCTATACTTAGTGCATCCCCGTTCAACCTGGCTAAATTTAAGCCTTGCCATAAGTAATCACTAAACAGAAGCTTGAAAATACTTTCTTTTAATGCAGAAAATATGTGGATTATTAATTGCAAAAAAAAAAAAAAGAAGCTGAGTGGTTTAGAGGAAAGTGGCTGAAATTCTATTTAAGCTACAGCTTTCCTCAGCTATAAATTTATTTTATTTTGTTATGAGGATCAGATGAGATCACATGTTTGAAAACACTCCATAATTGTGTGCATGCTCAGGCCCTTCAGTCGTGTCCTCTGCCCTGGACTATAACCCTCCAGGCTCCTGTGTCCAGGAATTCTCCAGGCAAGAGTGCTGGAGTGGGTTCCAAAATTGTGTAATGTCATATAAATAAATGAAAATTCTCTTTCTTACTGTTATTGCTATAAAAGTTCCTCATGTCTTCATTGCAGTCTTCAATAACTTCTTCATTCTCTTTTGTTAACTATCTCTATCTTTCCTCACACAGAAATCCCTTTCTTTCATGTAACAGTTTCTTTCCCAAGCTTCCGTGGAAATTCCTTACATCAAATCTCTAGGAAAAGGTATCTGGTAGTAACTCCTAGCTTCTCATTCAGATTGGACCTCAAATAATACTTCATAAATGGTTATCCCATATAATATGCAGTAAAGTATAGATTCAAAATAGATTTATTCATCTTATCCTTTTAAAAATATAGAATCTATGTGAATAAGATCCATGCTTTTTGTGCTACTGTTGCAACCTAAGGTCACTGAAGAAATTAAAAATAGCTGAGTCCACTGGAGTCCTTAAGTTGAAATGCATTAAATACAAGATGACAGTCTTCCCTGTCCTAGAGTCACAAAGTATGCCAGACTCTCAAATAGCCACATCTATAATTTCACTGATTTCAGAATTTCGGACTAGTTTTGAATAATTAGATTTATGTCATCTCATTTATGTTCATTTCAATGTTGTTTTTTTATCCTTGACAATTCATATCTTGATTAGTTGGCCTCTATGTTAGTCTATAAGTCCCATTACTATTAATTTATCTATTTATATAGTAATGAGTTATGCATAGGCAAAGGGAAAAGTGTATACTCCAGGGAAATATTTTAATTACAAAGATAATAATAGTATGTCCTTCTTTAACTCTATTTGTAGTAGCTGTTTAAAAATAAGTATATTTCACATTGACATCACTGGTGTCCTATAACATCAATTTTTGAAAACCAGGTTAGTTCTCTGAATCAAAGGTAAATTATGACTAAGAATACTTCCCAATCTAATACACTAAGAACATTATATAAAGAACATAATTATGTCTATTATTTGATATATTTTAAACTATGACCTTATTAACTTTTCTGGACAAAGTTATCCACTCAATTTCTCTAATGGGTTGCAGAGATAAAGAAAGTAGCTGAGACATTAGATTTTATAAAAGTAAAAAAGTACTATTTCACATATCTGAAGAATGCAAAAGAGTTAATGTATAGTCAAAGTTTTGCTTCCTTGATTCATAGAGAAAAAAATTGTCCCCACTAGGAAAAGATAAGATTTGATATCCAAGTTTCAACTTTTAAAGACTTAAAAGAAAACTATACCTACACATCATAAAATATTCACCCACTTTAAATTCTTGTGTTTTTACATGGCCAACTGGCAATTTAAAATGGAACTTCAGAAAACAAGATGCAACTTTTTGCCATGAGATCATCTTCAGGGACTGCAAATAGTTCATTTTATATTCTAACAGAAAAGTCTACACTGTTAATAAGAAATACCAGTGAACCATGGTTCTTGGTTAGCATTTTATTGAACTGAGGCTGGTAAGGTAATGGGACGAGTACTCATCCAGAAGTTGGGGACCTGAATCTCTAACTGCACCAGGGCCAGCAGACAGTTGCATAGCCAGAGACAAATCATCTGACTTCTTTAGGTCTTAGTTTTCTAATATATTAAATTTCGGCTTGGATTATGAAAATTCTTAGGTCTGTTTAATTTCTGAGCAGTTTTTGATTTTATATCTCTGAACAAAAGATAGCATGTTACTTAAGTAAAATTAGCCTCTTAGAACAGGTTTTGCCTATCATGTTTGGGTTGAATACAACTTCAAAAAGCTCCCTTCTTAAAACTATATGAAAACAATACATAAGTTCCTTACCTCTACAATTCCTATTTTTCCATCATCTCTTTGTCCATACTGATCCACAAAAGTTTTCATCTCAGGTGATAACTCCTAAAATTATAACAAGCCAGGTAAGAAGAAGGTTTTTTAAAAAAACAAACAGTATGCTTGTTATCATGTTAATAACTTGTTACAAAGAAAAACTGGAATTAGAACCATTTAGAATTATGCATGTTGATTAACCTTTTCATGAAAATTAGGGTATAACTAATGTACCAGTTTTACTGGTTTGAAATGAAAGACATAATTTCTGAATCAGTCATTATGATTTACCTTCTATTATTAGTTTTGAGAATATATTATCCTTTAATAATGTAGTCAGAATTATTCTGTTCATAGCCTTTAGTGAATTTAAATATAGTGATCCTTGTGACTGTACCTTAACACTACTTGCTTCCGGGAAGATTATTTTATATTGCTGTACTAATTATCCTATAACATATTTCTTATTGTAACATGCTTTATCCATGGAAGTTAATATTGTGTTTTCAATTTGGACAAGCAAATGTGAATGTTCAAAAGCAACGCATTTGTAAACAAAGACAGTTTCCAGGGTGCAAGAAGCTGGAAATGCTCTTACAAATTAAAAACCAGAAAAATTTGTGTCAGATTAATGAAAATGACTCGACCAGTTTGTACTTTCATTAGAAACAGGCAATACTGATGACCTTAGTTTGGATTACTGACTATATGCTGAAGATCTTTGCCTCCAAGAGTGATTTAGGGAGCAGTTCTCCAGTGTTTCCTTGTTTCCATTTTCTACGGAGAGGATGTTCTTGCTCCCATTTAGTTATGTACAGAAGATATATTGAAGAGGGACGGTGAAAGCTTTCATCTCGTTTGACTTATCTTTTTCAATCTATTCTATTGCTTACATAACCTCTTCACATATTGACAGAATAGATAGCTCTGAACAGTAAACTAATGACCTGAACATAGATAGAACTAGTATTCAGGAAGTTGGATTTATACCCTTGGGTCCTCAATATAGCCCATTTAAAATAGCCCTATTGCATTAACTGAAGCCAATGTAAAATAGGTCAGCCTTTATGAATGTCCTATTCTGTGTCCTTGGAAAAGTAAATTAAGGTCTTAGTTTTTATCATAACTAACAAGATGGTGAGAGCATCTATCACACACATTTGCTCTAGGGATAAATATCTTAATAGAGTGTGAGGACTGTACTGAGGCTGAATATTATTACCAGTGTTACAAAATCCTACTTTGGTTAAAGGTAAATATCTTTAATAGAAGGTAACAAATAGTAGTGAAGCAGCTTAAAATAGGCTTAAAAAACCCCTTCCAATATGGATTAATTTCAACTTGCCTTTATTACCTTAAACAGTGCAAAACATACAATGATAATGATAATAAGTTAAAGCTTTATAAAAAAATGTAAATTTTTAAAATGCTAGTTCTGAAAGTATATTGAGTTATTATATTTCATTAATGTTATATTCATCTACAGTTAATATTAGTGAAATTTTGAAATTTCACATTATTAATATGCTAAGCCAAATAATTTTTCCATTAATACAGTAAAATCTGTTATCCTGTTGCAAGAAATGCAAAGAAACCTGGTTTATAAGTTCAACCTTTAAGTTCTAAAAAAAAAGAGAAGAAAAAATAGATAAAAGTTGATTTAATACAGTGAGGCCAGTAGTGAAATATTTGTCTAGTACATGAATGTTTCAATTCATATCTTGATTTAGATTTTAACTATTCAAACCTATATTACAATAATCAAGCTATTAAGCAACTTAATATAATCCTGAACCTGTGCTCAGATTTGGTATTATTGGATTATAATCCAACAATAACATCTTCCAATATTCTAAGATTGGAAACTTAGCAGTAGAAAAAAATAATTAAGATCTAAAATTTAACAAACTCTAACAAGTCATTGTTTACAAAAAGTATATGTATTAAAATGGGAAGAGGAAAAGAAATATCTGAAAACATGTATAGAGTTTCTAAATGCCTGAATTTCTAAGCTGAAAATAAATATTAAAATTACTTCTAGGAAAATTAAAATATAATCATTTAGCTGCTGGAAACATCTTTAAAGGTTTTAATTAGAAGTTTTATGGTAAGAAAGATTTCCCAACCAGATATTTTAGATATATGTATTTTAACTGTAGAAGAAATTGTTTTGTATTATTAGTCAAATATACCTAGATCTATAATGATAATATTGCATGAATTTATTTACATGGTAATGTATAAGATGGTATGAAGAGAGTATAAAACATTTTCAATTTTATTTGACCCCGTCCTATTACACTTTCAAATTTATGTAATATCAAACCTGGTAAAACAGTTCCCAGAATGTCGTGTGCGTGCTCAGTCATGTCCGACTCTTTGTGACCCCATGGACTGTAGCCTGCCAGGCTCCTCTGTCCCTGGGGTTCTCAGGCAAGAATAGTGGAGTGGGTTGCCATTTCCTTCTCCAGGGTATATTCCTGACCCAGGGTCCCAGAGTGCTCTCTGGTTTTAAATCAATTTGATTTAAATCACTGGATTTTAGCAACTGATAGCTTTTAATGTATTATAAATCATTTCAGTGTCCTCTGGCATTCTTTTGGCGCTTCCCTGATAGCTCAGCTGGTGAAGAATCCGCCTGCAGCAATGCAGAAGACCCTGTTCAATTCCTGGGTTGGAAGATCCCCTGGAGAAGGGATAGGCTATTCTTGGGCTTCCCTGGGGCTCAGATGGTAAAGAACCTGACTGCAATGCGGGAAACCTGGGTTCAATCCCTGGGTCGGGAAGATCCCCTGGAGAAGGGCATGGCAACCCACTCCAGTGTTCTTGCCTGGAGAATCCCATGGACAGAGGAGCCTGGAGGGCTACGTGTTCTTTTGATATGTTGTACAGAGATGTGTGCCACACAATTTTCAATTTAGAAAGAACAAAAAGGTGACTATTAGTGAATAATATGTATAGATATATATATGTATCGCCATACTTCTCAGTCTTGTCCAACTCTTTGTGATCCTGTGAGCCACAGCCCGCCAGGCTCCTCTGCCCAAGGGTTTCTCCAGGCAAGAATACTGGAGTGGGTTGCTATCCCTTTCTCCAGGGGATTTTTCTCACCCAGGGATAGAACCCAGGTCTCCTGCATTGCAGGCAGATTCTTTACCATCTGAAGCACCAGGGAAGCCCATATTTATGTATACTATTATGTATATAACTCAGTGCTGGAGGTGGTGATTTGCTAAAAGCTCACACAATTATATTTTCCTCTAAAGATATATCTTTGTATTTTCATATATATTTGTTTATATATAATGTAAAATCTCTATGCTGACAATATCATTTCTTAACAGGCTAATTTATGCCTAAAGGAAGTTATTCATAATTAGTAAAAATTAACTGATAGCTTAAATTACAAATATAGCTTATTTTAAAAATGCCACTAATTGCTTCCCATTAGAGAATCACTTTGCATGTTTAAAATGTGTGAAGTTCTTAAAATTATTTTTTACATCTCTAACTTTTGATTTTCTTCCTCACAACAGAAATGAATCCCCTTTTTGCCAAATTTCTTGCTCATTATTATGTTGCAAAGTTGTACAAATTAACCCCCAGTGAGGAAGGATATTTTCTCCTCACTCCAACCACATCAACATTACAAGAATAATAATTGGCAATAGAATAAGAGATCCATAATCTGCAGATTGGTTTCCTGACCTCCAAGGGGCAGAAATGTATTTCTACTCCTTTACTTTTCAGGCTATTAAAGAGAGGTTAAAAATTACCTAACTGAACTCAATAGAAGAGGTGGTGATCTGCTAACAGGTCTCACCCACACTTTCCTTTTAAGTACGATTAAAATACAAGTGCACAATCTTTTAAAAGCTCTGATTTCATATTGTAGGGCTTTTTCCCTTTAAGGAATTTCTCTCTCTCCTTTGTCTCTGTGTCTCCCCCTCCTTCTCCCTCTCTTTCTCCCTACACAATTTCAAAAGGCACTGTTTCTCCCCTTTTCAGTAAATAAATGTTTGCGTTCCCGGAAACCATTTGATTTCGCTAGCTCTTTATGAGAATGCTAGAATATTTATTCAAGGGCAAAGGTCTCTTTCCTCCCTTGCGAACTTCAACCTACCAAACCAGCCTTCTTCCGCGCCTGCTGAAGCTCCTGGATCAGGTTCTGAAGCTCCTTTCCTTCCAGGTAACCACTTCCTGTAAAGACAAAGAAGCCCCCAGTTGTTAGACATTGCACTCTAAGTTTCTTCCCCGTTCAACTTCCACAACAGCTCTTTTCCGGCCAACGGAGAGGTCCTATCTTGGCCTCAATATTGATTAAGCCTCAAAAGATACACGACAGGGCAGCGGTCCCTTCCTGGGAGAGACCCACTAAGGGCAAAGGAGGATGGTTGGGGTGATGAGTGTAGCCATAGAAACTTTGCAGTGTAGGGTCTCTCGCTCTCGCTACCCTCCACCCCAGCCCCCCACCTTCTATTAGCATCATCCTTGGAGAAAGAAAAAAACTTTCAAGGTTTTGGGATAACATAGAAACATCACATAAACTTTAAAGTTCATGGTTGGCAGCCAACTGGAGAGAGATTAGGGAGATGGGGAAGAAGCGAAGAAAAGAAATGAAGGATAATCGGATCAGGAGGCTCAAGGAAAGGAAAAGGGTGGGACAAGGTTCTTCGAACAGTTAAAAAGATAAAAGATAATCACCGTCAGCGTCGAAATGAAGCCAGATCTCAAAAAACTGTGAGGCTGTGATCAGAGATGATTGCAGGTGGGATTCTGCCATCGTAGAGCGGAGTGGGTGGTCTGCGTGGAGTATGTGTGTGTCAGCGCTGAATGGGGTGAGAGCCTCAGGGTATAGGCGCGTGTGTGTCTGTGCACGTGCGCGAGCGTGAACCTGTGTGTGTGTAAGAAACCCGGGGCTGCAGGAGACGGGAACGCAGGGCGCCCGCGCCGCCTGTCGCTGTCCTCGGTGCTGCTCGGCTCAGGCGTCCCCGGGAGCTCTCTCTGCGCCCCGGCTCCCGCTCTCCGTATTTATCCCGCAGTCAGGCCGGGCCACGCCTGCCCCGGCCTCCCGTCCCTCAATCCCGCCTCCTGCACGCTGCAACCTTCCACCCCTCCCTTCCCGTCTCCTCCTCTCCTCCCAGGAAAGAGAGCTGGAGCACTAATTGTGAAGTGCAGAAAGCAGCAGGTGGTGGGAGATCCTTAGCTTAGAGACAGGTTGCTGAAAACACTCATTTCCCTCCAGATTCTCAGGACCGAAAGGCATCTTATTCCTGAAGAGTATAGTGAAATATCGTGTGTGAAGAGGTTTTGATTTGCAGATGGAAGAGGAAAACTAATGAAGGGCAGAACCACACAAAGGATGCTTATATTGTGTCTGTGCCTCTGTGTGTGTGTGTGATTTCTCCAAGACATTTCAGTATTTGTTTGAACAAAGTCAGGTGAAAATTGAGCAAATATTAGATTAATTTGATGAACATATGCAATAAATCTATTGGTATCAATAGCTACTCTATTTTGTGCTTGTTGAGGACCATCACATGAGTATTTGTTAAGATTGTTTATATAAACAAGCCTTGCCAATATGAGAGGGCAGGATGATGTTTTTTTTTCAGTTTGAAGCAGAATTATAATTGAAAAGTGACAGAATTTAAACTATAAAATCATAAAATGTAAGGAGAAAGAAACGATCTTTAGAGATACTGTGGTTTACTTCCTTTGGGTGTAGAAAGACTTAGAAAATTAAGGAAAGAGAAACCATACCTAGGTGAGCTAATGAGGCAAGGCCCTGCTCAGTGGCTGGAACACACATATCTCTCCTTTTTGCTATGCCAAGCAAGTTCTGTTAAAGAGATTTTCAGAAGTTTTTGGAAGTTACCATGAGAATTGGGGAAAGAAAAATCTAACTGAACATGTTATGTATTTTAATATAATAAATGATGATTTATTATTTACTTACAGACTGTATGCAGGTCAAAAGCAACTGTTAGAACTGGACATGGAACAACAGACTGGTTCCAAATTGGGAAAGGAGTACGTCAAGGCTGTATATTGTCACCCTGCTTATTTAACTTATATGCAGAGTACATCATGCGAAATGCCGGGCTGGATGATTCACAAGCTGGAATCAAGATTGCTGGGAGAAATATCAATAACCTCAGATATGCAGATGATACCACCCTTATGGCAGAAAGTGAAGAGGAACTAAAGAGCCTCTTGATAAAAGTGAAAGAGGATAGTGAAAAAGCTGGCTTAAAATTCAACATTCAGAAAACTACGATCATGGCATCTGGTCCCATCACTTCATGACAAATAGATGGGAAACAATGGAAATAGTGACAGACTTTATTTTTGGGGGGTCCAAAATCACTGCAGATAGTGACTGCAGCCATGAAATTAAAAAACATTTGCTCCTTGGAAGAAAAGTTATGACTAACCTAGACAGCTTATTAAAAAGCAGAGACATTACTTTGCCAAAAAAGGTCCGTCTAGTCAAAGCTATGGTTTTTCCAGCAGTCATGTATGGATGTGAGAGTTGGACTATAAAGAAAGCTGAGCACTAAAGAATTGATGCTTTTGAACTGTGGTGTTGGAGAAGACTCTTGAGAGTCCCTTGGACAGCAAGGAGATCCAACCAGTCCATCCTAAAGGAGATCAGTCCTGGGTGTTCATTGGAAGGACTGATACGGAAGCTGAAACTCCAATACTTTGGCTACCTGATGAGAATAACTGACTCTTTTGAAAAGACCCTGATGCTGGGAAAGATTGAAGGTGGGAGGAGAAGGGGATGACAGAGGATGAGAAGGTTGGATGGTATCACCGACTTAATGGACATGAGTTTGGGTGAACTCTGGGAGTTGGTGACGGACAGGGAAGCCTGGCGTGCTACAGTCCATGGGGTTGCAAAGAGACGGACACAGCTGAGCGACTGAACTGACCTGAACTGAAAGACTTCTAAAGTATTTGGTTTTGAATATTTTAAAAACTGAGGTCCACTGAAGATGTATCTTAAGTGTCTGATTCAGTTCAGTTCAGTTCAGTTCAGTCACTCAGTCATGTTCGACTCTTTGCAACCCCACGGACCATACAATCCATGGAATTCTCCAGGCCACAATACTGGAGTGGGTAGCCTTTCTCTTCTCCAGGGGATCTTCCCAACCCAGGGATAGAACCCAGGTCTCCTGCATTGCAGGTGGATTCTTTACCAGCTGAGTTATCAGGGAAGCCCAAATAACTGTATTCTTGGAATAAGTAGGCATTCATTAAATGTTCATTTGTTTATACTTTTATGTATCCAGTGAACATTCAATAGTACTTAGGTCAAGCACTCTGCTAGACACTGGGAAATGACAAAATAAAAGACACGATGCCTGCCTTATTGAAGCTTACATTTATGGGGATACAGTCACATGCACACGCACATGATACAATAGATATATTGAAGTTATTCACAAGATACTATGTATGCATAAACTTCCCGATTTGCTTGCATGAGAGTTGAAGCTTAAATTATGTAACTTTTCTTAGATAATAAGCAGAGAGAAAACTTTGTTCCATGGTGGGCACTTTGATTGTAAGGAGAAATGGTCATGGCAATGAAAGACCAATGGCTTGGGCAAATTCATAATTTCTGGAAGACTAATCCTAAATCTAGTTTGCCACTCTATTAGCAACAGGTACTTCATATGAAAAAATGTAGTATGTGAATTTGGAAACAAATGCTGGAAGATAAACTTCAAAGAGAAGGTGAAAAAGAATTGACTATAGAATGATCTGAGGAAGAACTTTGGCTGTTTCTAGTCCTAACAGCTAAGAATGTCTAGACTTTGGGTACAGTTCAGAGAGAAGGGGAAAAAATGCTGGGGAAAACAATGAAGGAACATGAACAAACCAATTATAAGACAACTAACATTTCTATTACTTTTGGTAGTTACAACTGAACACTCCTCCCAAACACTGAACAGTTTCCTCCTAAACTCCTTCCCCGTTTCCCCTGCTCAACACACAGTGGTATAAGTTCCTAATTAGTTCCACCACAATGTTTTTAGAGTATCATTTTAAGTTTTGAAAATATTGCATGGTAACTTAATTTTTTTTTAAAAAAAAGATGTATGTGAAAAAGCTGTCTCTTATCCATTTCACTTTGTTGAAGCTAAGAAGACTTCAGAATTTCCATGCAGCATTGTTTAGGAGTAGTGATTTGATTAGGTTCTGAAATTACAGAGCAGACGGACTGATTTTCTTCAAGTCACACAGATTTGGAGAAGGCAATGGCGCCCCACTCCAGTACTCCTGCCTGGAAAATCCCATGGACGGAGGAGCCTTGTGGACTGCAGTCCATGGGGTCGCTAAGAATCGGACATGACTGAGCGACTTCCCTTTCACTTTTCACTTTCATGCATTGGAGAAGGAAATGGCAACCCACTCCAGTGTTCTTGCCTGGAGAATCCCAGGGACGGGGGAGCCTGGTGGGCTGCCGTCTATGGGGTCGCACAGAGTCGGACACGACTGGAGCGACTTGGCAGCAGCAGAAAGGAACAGGTGACTTTTCTTGGAGCTGTGTGCAAATAGCAGGAACACTCTTTCCAGTTCTTTTTCTTCTTAATTTTTTTTTTTAATTTTTAATTCCTGACTGCGCTGGGTCTTCATTGCTTCCCAGGCTGCCCTGCCGTTGCTGCGCTTGGGGTTCCCGTTGCGGAGGCTTCCCTGTTGAAGAGCTTGGGCTCCAGGGCGCCGGGCTTCAGTAGCTGCAGCCGCGGCCTCGGTAGCTGCGGCTCTGCGGGCCTGGTGCACAAGCTTAGCTGCTCCGCAGCACGTGGGATCTTCCTGAGTCAGGGTTGGAACCTGTGTCTCCCGCACTGGCAGGCAGATTATTTACCACTGAAATAACAGGGAAGCACTTTCCTTCTTTTTATGTATCTGTAGAGAGGCTTTTGAGGAAGTAATGTAGATTATGGAGCTCTAAAGCTCCCTTTTAAATCACCTCTTAGTACTGCCACCACCTTGGGCAATCAATATTAAAAGCTCCATGCTTTTATAAACACACAAATATGCACATCTAGTTTTTATTTAAAAATTGATTTCACAGAAAAGACTATATTCTTCATACTACTCCATAAGTTTTTATTATTAAATCAAAGGATTCCTCCAGTATTAAGATCATAACCTAATTTTTTATAGTCAAATAATATTTTTTGATTAACTATAATTATAGACATTCGATTTATTTCTAGTTTTTTTTTCCTTTTTTCTTTTCTTTTGCAGCATCAAACAATGCTATAACAATGCAACATATACCTTTATCCATTTATCTTAGGTACATGTATTTTTTTGTTGTTGTTTTGTTTGTATTTTGGCCCTCAGCTTGCAGGTGGCTCAAATAGTTAAAAAAAAAAAAATCTGCCTGCAGTGTGGGATTCCTGGGTTCAATTCTTGGGTCAGGAAGATCCCCTGGAGAAGGGAATGGCTACCCACTCCAGTATTCTTGCCTAGAGAATTCCATGGACAGAGGAGCCTGGCTGGCTACAGTCCATGGGGTCACAAGCATTTGGACACCACTGAGCAACTAACATTTTTCATTTTGTGGGGTCTTAGTTTCTCAAGCAGGGTACCAGGTTCACCACAGTGAAAGCTCCAAGACCTAACCACTGGACCGCCAGAGAATTTCCAATATGTGTATTTTTTATTAGAGGAGGACAGAGTCCCCAAAAATAGTATTGTTAGTTCAGAAGTGTGCAAACTTTAAATTTTAATACATATTTCCAGATTATTTTTCTCAACTTG